AAACAAATTGAGGAAAAAAATTCAGGAATCCAAAAAAATCAGTTTTTTACAAGATTTTTAGGAAAATTTACATGTAAATCTATTTTTTCTATCTTAACTTAACCGAAAGTTTGATGTTTTGTGGCTTGTTGTGCCATGACTTTATGACACACGAAAAATGTTTCTGTTCGTGAATTTTCTTTAAAAAAAATAGAAAAGATTTGATTTTTTTTAGATTTTTGAAATCTTTAACCAATGTTTATTGAAAAATCAGAACTATTTTTTTTTTCGAATCAGTGAACTTCCCTTTAAACAAGATTCAGGAAAACGGAATTTTTTTGAATTAATTACCAGGAAAACTGAAAAAAAAACTGTATATTGAAATCTATATTCAGGTGCCACCCTGCAATATAAAAAAAAAATACACAAAAGGACTGTAAATTCTTGAAAATGTTCTGGTTTAAGATATCATACGATTTGGTCATTTGCCGCAATATTTCTGCTGGATAGGAATCCAGTTCAAAGTCGTTTTGATTTTAATACCCAAATCACAGAATCTCTGCCTTGACAATTATGATTATGTATTTATAGAATCAAAATGACACAGCATAGAACACTGACCAAAAGAGGCATCGACTTGAAGAGTACGGAAATTTCGACTTAAGGAAAGTTCGATTCATGGAAAAATAAAGGGATGGCTGAATCCATCGTGTTATAGAAAATATCAAGTTATAGAATATCGAGATTGTTTAACACTTTGTTTCCGACGTCATTTCGATTAAAAGTAATGCTTTTGTGCTACAATTTTATTTTTAAATGTCAAAGACACCAATTTTGAAAACAATGTATGATTCAAAATGGCTAAATTGTTATTCGCTCCATGAGGCCGGTAAAGCACTCCTCGTGCATTACGCATGAAATACAAGAACTTCTAAGTGCTTTATCTTTAAGATCTTTTATCATCACCTTTGCTTGGGTCCCATCTCATTGCTCGATTCCGGGCAATGAGAAAGCGGACTCGCTTGCTAAGGTGGGCGCTATGCAAGGCGATATTTACGATTGACAAATCGCCTACAACGATTTTTTCTTTATTTATCGTCAACGATCACTAGCCAGCTGGCAACATAAATGGAGTGAAGGGTGTTTGGGACGATGGCTATATTTGATTCCTTGGTTCAAAGGGTTGGAGGTGGGTAGAGACTTCATTCGTGTGATGTCTCGCCTCATGTCCAATCACTATTCGTTAAACGCTCACTTGATCCGTGTTGGGCTGGGGGACAGCAATTTCTGTGAATGTGGACAAGGTTACCAGGACGCAGATCACATCATTTGGTCTTGTGCTGAGCATCGTGGAGTCAGATCTGAGCTGTATGATTCCCTTCGGGCTCGAAGTAGACAACCTAATGTTCCAGTTCGGTTTATGGTTCGGTGAGTTTATGAAACTCATATATATTTTTTTGAAGAATACCCAACTAACATTTTAAGTTTTATGAAATACTACAAAGCAACTATAAAACAACATTCATAAAACTGTGGTCAAGGTTATTTTGTCATTAATGCATCTACCAAAACTTCATTAATACTAGAATATGTCTAGTTGGCCCACCCTGGAGAAGGTTCTGAAGGGTGTATTCTCAAAGCTCTTCAAGATTGATTTACTGCAAAAGGTTGTATGACGAACGCATTGAGAACCACGTCAAAGTTTGTTTATCTTTCGATAGTTGCGCTGGGGGATCCAGGATTCTTCCAGGCGGTTTTCTCCCGATGGATTGGGAGCAGTTACTCAGATAATTTGCGATGCTGTTTTACAACATTTCGCATTTCGAACAGCTGGAAGCGAAATCGTTCCCGAAAAAGATGCCCTTCCGGATGGTTACAGAAGTGCACCATCCAACGATGCAGGGATGTACGCTTGAATGAAATTTTTGAAAAGTTGATTCTTTCGCCGAATAAGATCGCTGCTATGGATCGGAAACCAGCTAATCTTCGCTTACTAACAGTTTCAGTGGTTTGCTGTCGGTTGATATTTCGCAAGATCTGGAGAAGGCTGGTATGTTTTAACTTTCGACAATTTTTTTAAGACCCCGCTTAGTTTACTCTTCTCCGCCAGATGGTCAGTCGTTGGTGTGCAAGTTCTTCTAAGTAAGTAATTTTTTCTGAATTCCACTTGAATTTTACATCCTTCTTCGTCTATCCTTCGAGATTTTCTTGTCATAAATTCGGCTTTTTTTTTAACTATGAGGAACCATTTTTAAGCTCAATTTGTAAACAGAGTAATTGGGGAGTTTATGATGCACTTTAAAAAGCCTAAAACGCAACAATAAATGCTTTTTGCTCAAATGCAAAACCTAATGGTTTTATGGTTTCTTTTATAATGATAGAACACGTTCATAAAGAATTTTATCAAGACATTAATAAACAATTGCAAATGACGTTTATGGTTGAATTACAGAGCAGTTTTAAGAAGGGATTGAGAACTATTTTAAATTTATTTATTTAAATTTTTTTACGAGGTAGTTATTGACGTTCTTGCCAGACTATGAAAGGTTTTTAAAACAGCAAAAAGCTAAATTACTAAGCAGGAATGTTTTACACTTTGAAATGCTGTATTTATACTAAATGGATTGTTCGTTGCCGTTATAAAACCATCATAAATCAGAGTGGATGCCAAATGGTTACTGAATTGTTACTTGGGTATTAACCGTAGATTGTAAGATTAATTAACCTTGTGTTTAGTTTGTATTTTGTGTGTGTGTGTTTTTTTTTTAAATATTTGTTTTGTAATAATAATAGAATTACACTGCTGATATCAAGTTGAATAGGTATAAGTTTATTTTTAAGGAATAATGAAATATTTGCATCGTAAATCATATTACAAACGTCCTTCTCCCTCTCCCAATCCCCGAAACTGTAAATCTCTACTGAGCTCGAGACAACCGTGAGTACTCGGTTCAATTCCTTTAACTTAAGATTTTAATTTTAGATTTAAGACATTAATAATGTATAACGCAAAAGATAATTTGGCTCGGTAAAGTTTATTCGATTGAGCCTCTACTAATAAAAACATTCACAAAAAATGGCTAAATTTTAGTAAAATTGTGTATGATTGCCAATAGCAAACAATTGTGCAAAGCAGTGTTGGCAAAATCATCAATCAAACGATATTTTCCGCTCTCATAAGCTCTCAATATCATGCCTGGCATTGGAATAACATAGCATGCTTGATATTATTTTACAAGCTCCTTAAATATTGTGAGACTATTCACAACGTGCAAAAATCAAGCTGAGAGTTGACTCGACACAAAAATGATTCCTTTACTCTTCACCGATGGCAGACACGAAGTGACTTCTGCCAGCCGTTATGGAAGTTTCAGTTGCGTTCGGGTGTAAAGCAAAAAATCATGAAACTCAATCTCACCCCAGTTTGTTGAGATTGGCTGCTGGTGAGTTTTGTTAGCTTGATATTCCCAGCTGCGATATAAATGCAAAATCAACTGCAGTTGTTTGCTTGTTGATTTTTTTTTCTACGAAAATCAAGCGTGATCTTGGGCATTGGTGAGTTTTGATTGTTTGATATTTTCCCAACACTGGTGCAAAGTTTCATGCAAATTGGAGCAGGTCAAGCGAAAAATTCATTGTTTTTCTATAATTTGGTCTAGAAATGCTCAAACACACTATTTCCGCATACAATGTACCATTTCAGCAGTTCCAGGCCTTTACACGCGAACCAAAGAACGCCCACGCAAACCAATACCACTTTTGGAAAGGTGATAGTTGCCCCTATCCGATGATGTTGTTGGTTTGCATGGGCGTGCTTTGGTTCGCGTATGAAGGGCCTTAGAAAGTTGATTTACAAATGCTTTTGTACCATTATCAAATGTTATGCCTGATGTATTAACCAGTGAAATTTCTGAAGAGGATAGATTGATAGTTCCGCTAGAGTACGGCAGTGTGAAAATGAACAGAAGTTGAAATTGAGCGAATGGTAATTTATGCGATAATACTAATCAAACGCGCTCTCCCTTACCTAACTCATACATTAATGGATGAGGGGATTTGAGTTATGTCCAAAAGGTTGTTGTTTTTCGATTTTGTTAATTTTTAAGTGTCCAAGATTTTGAATATTTAAATTGAGAAGCTTAAAATTTTTTGAACAAAATATTTTTTTTATTTAACTTTTGACGACTTTTTTAATTTTCTACTCAAAATTACATTGAAAAATTTAGCTCGTATATTTTCAAAAGAAATATTTTTTTTTCTTACAACTTTGTCACGGACGTCATTAAAATTTGATGTGACATTTTCGTGCTATTTTTTAATTAGTTGAAGATGCTAATTTCAAATAACAGACTAAAGTGGTAATTTTTATACGATAGATGAGGAGATGAAAGTATAGAGTTGATAGTTCCGTTAGAGTACGGCAGTGTGAAAATTGTATTTAGAGAGTAGAAAGCGAGATAGGACAACTTTTTAGGAAGGTTCAAATTGGTTTGATCTTGTACCTTCCTAAAAAGTTGTCCTTGCTCGCTTTCTACTCTCTAAATACAATTTTCACACTACCGTACTCTAACGGAACTATCAACTCTATACTTTCATCTCCTCATCTATCGTATAAAAATTACCACTTTAGTCTGTTATTTGACATTAGCATCATCATCTATGTAAATCGTTAACTTCACGCAGCAGTAATACAAACAAATAGTTAAAGTACTTTTTATTGAAAACAGATGAGGGAATGTTGATAATTATCCACGCCGAAGGGTCTAAACCTCCCAAAATATGTCTACCTTAAGTTCATTACAAAAATGTAGAGCCAAACTCTATCTTACAAAATTTGTAATTTTACGATGATTTGTATTATTTTGTTCGTTGTAAATGATCCAGCAATATACGTATGTGCTAATCCAATTTCATTCAATTTTGCGACTTTAGAAGAAAAGCGATTTGGTTGAAATCTCACACATCTTGCCAAAAAAATCTGGTAAATCTCAAAACAATCCGTTTTCTACATCTTGTTTCAGATATTGCACCTACATCTTCAAGCAACACACAAAGCATCAGTACTACAGCAACATCAAAATGCCATCCTACTGCGAGTTGGAAAGCCGAGATATCTACTCCCATCCCCAGTTGCAGCAGATGCACTGCATCTTCTCCGATCAAATGTAAGTAACCTTATCGAACAAAACCTACGCAAAATTATCACTTCACACGATCGCAACTTCCCTGCAGAAATCACACCGACCTCATGCCGAAATCGATGTCCATCAGCAACCTGGCACCGGCGCACTACTATCTGATCTTCGTAACGGCTAGTCTCGGAAACGGGCGAAGCCTGCCCTACCGATCGGCGCGGATAAAAACGCATCCATACTGCCGGGATGGTGATTCCACCGCCGCCGGTATCATCAATCAGCAACAGCAGCGACTACGAAGTGTTTCGATCATCAAAAAGCACCAGCATCCACCACGGGGCAACAGCAGTATCAATATGCTAAAATCCGGTCTGCACAAGCAACAGCAACTGATCGAGAGGAGGAACAACCGATTGAAGAGGGACAATAAGTAGAGTTACTGCATTACAATGTAAGATTGGTTTTTTTTTTGGGAAAAGAAAGACGCATATAAATCCTCCCTAATTGATTTGGCACTGGATCAAACCTGATAAACCCATCCTCGCGTTCTTCGTCGGGACCCCAGCAGGGGAGGAAGTCCTGATTTATGTAGCTTTCTCGTTATTCTTGCATTGTATTTACGCACATGTGCAATCACATACTACTCATGAACGGCGTTTATTGGCAGTTAAATTTTTGTTCTATGTTGGAAGACGAAAAAAAAAAGAATACGACAGTAAAGACAAGGAAGACTCCAGACACTTGTGAGATTTATTTCCCTACTATACATGGGAAACCAGCTCGGTTATCGTGCATAGACGACGGCGAGCCCGGCGGTGCGGCCGGGGCTGGGAGAAAGTGAAATAAAAATTGTATTGCATTAATAAATTAGGGATGCGACGGCAGCCACTTGTGACAAGTTAGCAACTAGGCGAAAGTTGGAAGATTTGCGAGAATAAAAAAAAACGTTGTAAAATTTATGACACACCGGAAGGATATAGCTTTCAAGTGCTTGAGCGGTTCTCGCATTGTAGTAGCAAGTAAGAATAAGAGTCAGCCATACAAACACACACACACACTCACATACACACATAAACGGATCGTATAAACTCGTATATGAATATTACTTTGTAGGAGCAAGCCAAGCCGAGAGTGGCAAATGGCAAACATTGTTACTAATCTGTATAGTAGGACTTAAGAACGACTTTCTATCAATTAAGAACAACTCACACAAGTTGAAAACTCGTACTTCTAGGATGTAAGGACAACTTATATGGTAGATGTGTGCTACGTGTTTGTGGATAGCATCCAAGCTTGTACCATTGATTGGTTTTATGAGCGCGATTACTTTTATTCTTTGGAAGAATATTTATTCGATGATATTTTCTACTAATGTAACTTTATCTTCAGTCGTAAGTATTTGTACCATTATCCATCGTTTGTAACGTATATTTAAAATGCAAATACACATGAGTATTATCCGATTGATTGATGTGACGTGTTTATTTGAATTCATTCCGTAGTCAGTGCATGTATGTCTAGTCAATCCAGCTTCCATCTGTGTCCGGCAATTGTTTTATGGAAGAATCTGCCTTCGTCTTTTTGATAGTCTGAGTGGTGAATTATGAGTTAAGAAAATGTACCCACCCTGTCAAGTTGTGGGAACAATGTCGGAAACCGCAAATTGGTTCGATTCCTGAGTAAACAGTTATTAACTAATAAGTACGTGGCATTGTATTTCAACAAGGTGTAGGCCACCCAGGGAAAGATGCAGATAAATGCTGAAAAACAGAGTTGAAAAGAATCCCTCGTCGGCAACAAGTCCAGCCAATCAACGGCTGAGCTGTAAACACGCTCAGCGGTGTAAGAAAAGCGGTAAGGTGACACGCTCAGCGGCGTCAATATCAGGGCACCAGGGATTGTCGCTTTCCGTACTCAACTTAGGGTGCTTCTTTTGGGTGAAAAAAAAAATGTTTCCAAACAAGGCAATAACCACATAACATATGTGGAACTCGATCATCAAAAATCGACCCCATTTCAGTGATTTCAAGTGGTATAGATGGACATCGATCTGTCAAACTGATTATACCAACTGAAAAATGAGAAAGAGGATCATTCATTTTTCCCATTTGAAAAATATGCAGTGTTTTGAATTGACTTTGCATCGTTTCATTGGCAAGAATTTTTTATCAAAGATTTCAACACTCCCTATGTTTCTCAATTGCCTTCAATTGAAAATTTCTTCAAAAAAAACGTGGTAAGGTTGATCCTTGTTGATCGAAAAGGCAAAGGAGGAGCTACACACAATCATAACATTTTTTTTTTCGACCTCTATGGCTAAGGTCCCAGGGTGGGACTCCCAGCTAGATGTATCAAAGTTAAGCACTATTTACTAACGAAAATAGTTGTTAATATGCATCCACTGGATATTTCATGCTGTATTCATAAGTTGACTCACTGTTAACAATATTTCAACATACCACAGACATAATGATAGCTTCACACCTATTCGACGTTATCATCAAATCTTCGAATTATTTGCATCAAATTACATGAAATTAACACAATTTCCGTAATGAATCCAATGTAAAAAGATCAAATAGACGAAGAAATATTGCATCTGTAAATAAGCAATATTACTGAATAACAACGCTCTTGATTGGCTTCTATCCGACTTGAAAATACTAGTTAAAAATTCTTTGAGAAGCCCCCTGTCAAACTAGTCGAAAAAAGAATGCCCACACATCAAACTCCGTCAAGCATTTAAACAGCGGAGGAACAAAGGAGACGACAAATTATCTGGGCCTCACCTGTTTACATCTCATTACCCATTACCGTGTTTATTGACAATTCGCCTCTTCGGTCACTCTGTAATTCTTCACTCCTATGGAAAAATCCCATTCGCCTTGACACCAGTCCCGAAGTGACGTTTCTTCACACACATTTTGACAGTTCCTTATGGGGTTTTGCGTTGGAGTGAGAGAATAAGAAAAAGTCCGCCATGTTTCACACATAGACTGACAGTTACATATGAGATTTCTCCATAGGAGTAAAGAGTTACAGAGCTCTCGTCAACGCCAATAAGCAAACATCAGTCTGTGCGTGAAACTTGGTGAACATTTCCTTACCCTTTCACTCCTATGAAAATCCCATATGATTCTGTCAATCTTTGCGTGAAGAAACGGCGGCTTGCTGGAGGAATGAAGAGAGAAGACAAAGTCCGCTAGATTTCATGCATAGATTGTCAGATGCTTATGGAATTTTACCAGGAGTAAAGAGTTGCAGAGTCGCCGTCAATGTCAATGCTTACTTTCATTGGCCCAATGCTGCAAACGTAAACCAATTCTTTACTTTTTGCGTGAATTTCTCGAAAATGAAAACTCACTCAAGAAAACCAACACCACCCAGACAACCAGAATGAACGTATATTTAAAGTTGTTTCTGTGATAACCAAACATATATACAAACAAACAAATCGTATAGAATGCAAAAAAAGGGCCTATACCTACAAAAGTGGAGGCCATATACGTGCAAATTTTAATTTCATTTTAAACGAGTTGATTTGACATTATATACGATTCAATCTGTAATAACAAATTCAATTTGAAAAACCTTACGATGTAATCTGATTTAATTTGTGATACAGTACGATGAAAAAAAGATTCGTCGTATATAAGTCGGAAATTTGCATTCTATACGATTTAACTTAAACATAATACGATGTATGTCATACTTATATGCGATGTTGACTTAAACAGCAGTTATTTACGATACTTTCTGTACATTGTTATACGACTTCTGGTTGTCTGAGCATGATTGTGTACAGAAACAGTCCTCCTATCCGATAAAATTAGTGGCTTACTTGGATTGACTTGGACGTACGAGACATTTACGAAAGATGCCATTATTTATGTTTTCGACATTAGTCCTTATGAATGCTCAGTGTCGATATCACGAAAATTTTATTTTGACAGATCGATGTCCAACTATACCAGTTATACCACTGAGGCAAAACAAAAAAGGGGTTAGCTTTGAGCCAGCTTTTGCATGAAGTTCCACATATGTATCTTATGTGCAATAACCCTTCAATTCGGTTGCTTGGTTGGTTGTCTTTATTAAGGAGATTTTCAGCCAGACGCTGGTTCATCTCCGGATCCCTTCAATTCGGTTCAATTCCCCAAAATAACTGCCTATGCAAAAAAAATGGGAAAGGTTGTGAAAAGTTTAAAGGTCATGCAATCGGTTTAAGTTTGGATACAGTAGCTGAAATTCTGTCAAATGATCGATCGAATGATGATAATGATCGGTTACGGTTAACTTGATAGAAACTCAAAAGATATAATTCTCGGAAAATTGTAAAATAGCAAGGGGTAACCAACTCTGCACATTGTGCCGAAACACATCGCGGCTCATTGATCGGCGGGTCATGGCACACGAGCTGAAGGCGCTGATTTTGAAGGCTAAAATGAAGCGCTTTGCCAAACTGACTGGCACATCTTTGAAACCACTGAAGATATTGCCATTGCTGTAGCGTGTTGAAGAGTTACTTGGTTGATTTTGATCCACTGCGCAGGGCATCTTCGAAACCACATTTACGAGGACTCAAACGTCTAAGATCCAAAGCACTCCGAACCTACTGCCAGACTCGTTGTCCTTTTGCCAATCAACATTTCGAACGTGTCAGTAACAAGTATTGCACGTATAACCGTTATCTGTACAAACGCTACTGCAAACGAACTAAGGAAAGTCCACGCAGACATCACGACATTTTTGGACATTTGTCAACTCTTAACGGAAGGACAGTGGGTTACCCATTGAGATGTTTCTGGGCAATTAAGTTGCCACTTCCGCTTTGGAAAAGTGCAATTTGTTTGCCAAATCATAGAAGCTTGTAGAGATACACCTAGTGGTGTCTGTTCTCTGAGAAGCTTTGCAATCACGTCGAATCAGGTGGACTCCGCAATAAACAAATTGAAATACTCTTATACCCCGTTCACATTACAGCCTATATCACGTAATATGCAATGAGCACTCATACATAGGATTTCCAGTAAAAACTAGATGTATGAGTGCTCTTTGCAAGACAGCGTATATCACGTGATATACGCTGTAATGTGAACGGGGTATTAGCATAGAGGTAATTCTAAGACCACTGGGTCCCGAAGAAAATCATTATTATTTTTGGCTCACTCAGTACCAGAACAACGGTCCCAAGCAGTCCCAAGCTATTTCACTCACCCCTGCATGTTCTGCATGAATCCACACACCCCTGATGTTATCTGTCAAACTTTCATAGCGAATCAAAACAAACATAGTGTAGTAATAGAATTTCAACTAGAATAGGGTACGTTAATCGTTTGCTTGGGACCAATAGGCTACTAAAGTGGTGAGCCAATTTAAAATCGTTAGTTTCGTATTGATTGTTGGTATTAGGGTTATTCCGAGAGTCGAAGTGGCTTTTGTCACTAGTGAAGTGAGAAAAGTCACGTCGGGGTGACGAGACTCTCCATTTGATTTGCACAGAGGGTCACGTCACCACGACGTGACTTATCTCACTTCACTAGTGACAAAAGTCACTTCGACTCTCAGAATAACCCCCTCTGTGTCCAGTCCAGATGGCATATCGTCAGGCATCCTGAAAAAATGAGGTGAAGCGTTGATTTTCCCTCTTATAGCACTTTTCAAAATATCATTACGGAAGCGTAGTTTTCCCGTGTTTAAAAAGGGGATCAACAGAACATCGAGAACTACAGAAATCATAATAAATCTACAAATTTCGTCCAGTTTGCTTCGTTTTGCATACGCAACATGTTGGTTGGTGCTCAGATCGACAACGCATACACTGATTTGAAATCAGCTTTCGATAAAGTTGACCACAGAATAATACTCTCACGTCTAGGATGAATTGGTGTCTCTGAAGATCTTGTTAGCTGGTTTGGATCATACGTTACGGATTGTAACCTCACCGTTAAAATCGGGTTTGAATCTTCGGAACAATTTTCAAACTTATCTATCGTGCCAATAGAGCTAGAGGAAGAATAGCGCTGCCGTTGCTGTCGAAACATCTTTTCCTTACATCTAATAGGGACACAACTGTTAAAGCGAGAAAAAACTATGCAGTTTGACAGTTCTGTACACGGTATTATCATAGAGGTAACTCTAAGACTAGAAGGTCCCGAAATAACGTGCTCAACTTTTTGGCTCAGCTCTGGTACTCTCTTCGGTCCCAAGCTAATCGATTCACCCCTCGAAACATAGGAAAAACTAATAACCCCTCGTTTTATCTGTCAAACTTTCATAGCGAATCAAAACAAACATTGCGCAGTACTAGAATTTCGACTAGAATGGCGTACGTTAATCGTTTGCTTGGGACCAATAGGCTAGTCAAGTAGTGAGTCAATTTAAAATCGTTAGTTTCGTATTGATTGTTGGTATTATTCAAAATAGCAACAAAGGGAACACCAGCGCTATTCTTCCTCTACACTCATAAAATAAATCACATAAGCAGTGGAAAATATCCATGTGAATTTCACATAACTTTCATATGATCCCTCAATTGGAAATTGCACCACTAAATCACATGAACGTTATGTGTCCAATGAAATCTATATGATTTCTCATATAGAATTTCTAATGCTATGTGATATTCAGGTAAAAATCATTGTTTTTGTTTTTGGAAAAATACTATGTGCGTTCCTAATAGAAACTAAGTGAAAACTTTTTTCAGTGTATAGTATATTAGCTCTATTGGCGTGTCACAAGGGAGCAACCTGGGTCCTTTGTTATTCTCACTCTTCATCAACGAGGTTTCTCTCATACTACCATCTGGCTGCCGTGTGTTTTACGCTGATGACGTCAAAATATACATGATCATTAAAGGTATCGATGACTGCTATAGACCTTTTTGACGTTTAATCGTCTTTCTCTATCCAGCACACAGGGATGAACGGTTGGTTTGTTTTCCCACTAATCTGTTTTTCTCTTGCTCACACTCCTTCAGTTTAAATGGTGCATTAGTGTGCGCCGTTTAAACGTCAAAAAACTCTATGCTCTACAACCACAAACGAAGTGACAGACGGAGCGGCTCGAAAACTTTGGTGACTAACCTGCTATTTCAATTTTTCAGTGTACCACATGGCAACACCACTACTACTGGATTGTACCACATGGCAACACTACTACTAGATTGAACTAGCATTTTCACCAAATGTACTAGAATGTTTTGGTTCTATCTCTTTCACTCTACTCAAAACTGAAATGCATAACAAAAATGACAAAATGATACGCACTCTTTGCACACTGTCAAAGAATCATTGTACACAAAATCAACTTTGTTCAAATCAAAACAAAAAAACTAACCCATCTGGTGGATGATGGCACAAGCTTCCAAGAAAATTCTATTACAGTGAACCACATTATTTATATGGATTTCTTCGCCAGTTAGTCGTCTGTCACTTCGTTTGTGCTACAACTGCTGCTGAATAGTTTTGCTGATTGGTGCACCCGGAAGATGCTGAAGTTGAGCATCCACAAATGTATAATTATATCGTTTCGTTGAGCGTGTTCTTCAAGTTCGTGATCTTGGCGTCATCCTGGATTCAGCGCTGACCTTCCGATCGCACTACAACGATATTTTCTGTAGAGCCAACCGACAGCTGGGATTTATGTTCAAAGTATCCTGCGAATTTACCAGTCCTCTCTGACTCCGGTCCATGTACTGCGCTCTGTTGCGGTCTATTTTGGAATCCAACTATGTAGTATGGTTCCAGTCAACTTGAACTGGCAGGATCGAAACAATTTAAAGAAAATTTGTGAGATATGCCCTACGAAGCCTCCCCTGGCGAGATCCGTTAAACCTACAACAATATGGAGATCGATGCAGCTTATTGGGACTGCAGACGCTTGAGCAGAGATGGAATGATGCCCAAGCGGTGTTTGTTGTCCGAACTCTCATAGGAGAAACTGACGCATCGGAGTTACTAGGTCAGCTTAACCTTTACGTTCCTGAATGATTGCTTCGCAAACGGAACTTTTAGCTGCTTGAGCCCCGGAACTCCTTGTACGGTCTTCATGATCCTGTCAGCTTCATGTCGGCTAGGTTCACCGAAGTCTACATCCTCTCCGACTTCGGCTCTACTGTGGCAACATTCAAGCGTAGACTAACTGAATTGAGATTCGTTATTGTGAAAGGTGAGTAATATCCCAGTGCTCCTAAATTGTAACGATAACACTAGTTTACAGCATTTTTGAACTCGGTAAGGTGATGATCATTTCCAATGCAAAATCCTACGCTGAATTCAATGCCGTGGTCAGAAAAAAATAAAGTAGAGTTATTCAAAAAATCAATTTACTTTGCGCCTGACATTCACCTAGCCAAGCACGTTTTGCACGAACTACATAATACTTTTGGAATCCACGGTTCGTCAAAGTCTCCAGGATCAATTTTAAAATAAAGCCTGTATGCAGTTTGCAACGAAGCAGTTAAATTGACCGATTTTGTAAATATATAGTTGCCACACGCGTAACAAAACTTTTGAGGATCATTTTTACACTTAAATTCACGTTTTGTCGTTTACATCGTTAAGCAATGTTAAAGAAAGAAAGCTATCAAATTGAGTTGGTTGCGTTAGGTTCTCGCCGAGCGGTCTCACAAACACTAGCGTAAATTATATTGCTGAAAATATCCCATTTAATATTGCCGGACAGCTGGTAGTGTTAGTGAAATGCACCGTATGCGTACACGTCCGCAGAAAGGCCTACTGGAAGTGGTGCATGAACCTAGGAGCGGGACAACGGCCAATCTTGGAACATTCAATTTCCATGATTTTACAAAAAAATTCATAACTTCGACAATTTCCAACCGATTTCATCCATTAAAGGCTTACTTTCTCCAGTTTTTAATGGACTTTAAGAATAAATTATGAAATGATTTTTTGAATCTTTTTATCCCATTAAAAATGTTGATTAAAACAAGATTTTTATAGAAAATTCGCAGGAAAAATAAAAAAAAAATGCTGTAAATTTTTAAATGACTTCAAAATTAAATTTTTAATTGAGACATAATATTTTAGTAAACGATAGCAAATTTATTAAGCTTTATTTTCATAAAAAAAAAGATTTAAAATTGATGCACTAGTTCCAAAGATATTGACATTTTAGTAATCGCACTTTTGTCCAAAATTCAAAAAAATCAAAAATTTTGTATATCTCAAAAATGGCTCTACTTTATTTTTTTCTGACCACGGCATTGAATTCAACGTAGGATTTTGCATAAGAAACGTTGGTCAACCACTAAAGTTCACACTTTTTATGTTGTTTTGTAAACTAGTGTAATGCTACCTGTGTATTTTTTTTCTCGTTTCACCACTGCCGACGAGGATTGCTTCGGATGATGGATGTCCAATCGAGCTGGATGAATTAAAAGTGTATATGCTGTAGTCACAGTTGATATTTGATGCCATGTTTACTTTATGCTATGTTCCCGGATGTGGCTTTTCCCCCATCATATTCATTAAGACGACAAAAAGTCAGTTGAATAAATAAATAAATAAATTAATAAAGGGTTGTTTATTATCTAGGTTTTAAATTTTTTTTTACTAGAATTTTTTACCGTGTATATTTTTCTTGAAACAAAATTGTTGTTTCCCACAGCTTTGCCTCAGAAGTCATTTCGATTGAAAATGACGTTTCCAAGTTATTATTAGTGGAAAAACATTTTCAAATTTCAAAGCTCTATTTAGGTAACACAAAAGGATTCTAGGAGAAAATTGAAATGTAGCATCTCTAGTAGACGAGAATATCAAATCAATAGCAAGTTTTACTATTAAAATTGGGGAACAGAACATCCAGAATTGTTTTTAGTTTGCTTGATACAAGAGATAATTAATTTAAAAAATAATATCAAAAAATTTATTGGACCATAATTGGATAATAGAAAAGCCAGTTGCTGTCACGTCTATCTCATTTTCCTATTATATCCCATCAAGCTATTGTTATGTCTTGAAAATTAATCAATGTAATGCCACATTAATAGCTATCCGATATTCGAAATTTGTTCTTGAATTCATGATATCAGATATCATAATAAGAAATTGTAGTGAAATTTATATTATTTAGTGTAGGTATTGCTATTCCCCTCTACTCAGGATGAGTCTCTTTTGTGTTAATTTAGTATTTTTTGTGATTTATTTTTTATTTTTTAAATCTTTTGTTTGCTAGTTCATTCATTTATTCGTTTGTTTATGTATTTATTAATTTATTGGATTGTGTATTAAAATATTAATTTACATGCACAATAATTTATTTATTCATTATTTAATTTATTAAATAATTAATTTTAATATTTATTTTTATCTAACTGCATTATTTTTATTATTTATTCATATATTTTCGTGAGTGTTTTTATTCAACTATTTATTTCTTTAATATTTTATTAATTTGTTTACTAATTTATCAACAGATGTTTTTTTTTATTTACTTATTTATTTAAATATTTTTATACATAACTTTATAACTTTAGAATGTAACTTAGGATTTTAGCATTTTTTGTTAAAAATTTAAACCAACTTTTGAAACACTGTACATGCAAAGTTCAAAAACATATCGAATAATCGTAACTACTTTAGCATCCCTATTTATTGCCTGACGCCTACCACCGATGCAAGCATATGCTGTGTTAAAGAGCCTGAATTTATAAAGAGACGACATGTCAAAATTGGAATAATCGATTGTCTGTCAAAGTCATAGGAAAGGTCATTCCAATCGAGCAGAAGACCTGTCAAATAGATAAGATGTCGCCTCTTTATAAATTCAGGCTCTTTATGCTGTGTATACTTTCAGGCGTATGATAGCAAATCGCTTTCACCGTAAGGGATGCTTTCTTTCATCAATTCACCAAACATCTTCGATATTTTACTTCTACAAACACTTAAATCTGATATTTTTGAAAAATGTTGCATTTGACATAAACCCGCCACTATAACACTTCAATCAACTCTAGTCGCCACAAAACATGCCATCACGCTGCTGTGACCGTCTTTTTTCCACCCGCGTTACGTCCCCCTTGCCACTGTTGACCTGCTCGGAGGCTTTTGTCCTTATCCTTGCGAATACCCGAAGACAAGGATCCACCCAGAATCGGACGCACATCGTTCGGAGGAAAACCGTCACCTTGATCGTTTCCCCCAGGAAGGTGTAGATCAGCGGGTTCAGGACGCAGTTCATCATAGCCATGATGCCGAAGGTGTAGTGCAGTGTCCAAAACACGTTCGTATTGGCGGTTCCGTGGAGCTTTATCAGCAAGAAAATCCAGGTCGGCAATCTACACAGGAAGAACACCGACATGATGAACACGATGGCCTTGAACATGCGCAGCTGACGCTTCATGCGACTGTTGGTTTGGGTGCTGTTGATTGTTGGGGGTGGTGGTGGTGGCGGTGGTGGTGGTACCCTGGGTGGTGAATGCTGATCAACGCAATTGGGACACACACACTTGGAGACGGAGTAGTTTGTGTTTCTTGCGGGAGGTAGAGGAGGACGACGATCCGATGCGTTGCTGGAACTTATGTTAGTCGATGTTGTTTTACGCTCGCAGGTGCTTTCTGTTGGGGCGGTATTTTTCGACTTCTTTGGCGGGTTGGTACGCTTGTCGATTGGATGCCGACGAATCCAGATTTCCTTGGCAATGATGGAATTTAGCCATATGAAGGACAGTAGCAGGGGTAAGAAGATAACGGTGAACACAATTCCAAAGTAGTAGCCATTTTTGCTCTTATCAGTAGCGCAAATCTGAGCCAAAAAGTACCCGGTGATTACATCCGAATGGGATCGATCGGCTGTTAAAACGATAACGTTGTAGATTTGGTACAGAGTCAACATGGGGCTGGCGACTCCTGCTGACAGACCCCAAATCAGAACAGCACAAGCGATGCAAAGCACTCCGCTGGGTTCCCAGGCTCCTTTCGTCAGTCGCACCACAGCCATGTATCGATCCAGGGCAATTGCTACCAAAGTGATGCTATCCACCAAGACGGCCATAGTTTGGAAGAAGGGAGCAAATGTGCACATCAGCTCACCCAGAGTCTGTTAGAAATTTGAAGTGATAACTCACTAGAATATGCAGTTCAAACAAAATAGCAACAATACTTACCCAGAGAGAATTGTATTCACTGTTGAATTGCGACAAATAGACGATGGATGTGATAGTCACGAAAAGGATATCGCTCAATGCCAGCGAAAGCAGACACACTCGAAATAAATGGCGTTGTTCCCTTCTGATGTTGGCAATTATCGTCAGTACATTGCCGAAGATTGCCAGCACCATCACCAGAATCACAACCACCGTAAAAGCCGTCCGCTGTTTCGTGCTGAGATTCTTCAACGAGCTTTCCCAGTATCCGATCAACTTATCCCGTGGACTCGCATCGAAATCCTCATGGCTTCCGGCTGTGAAATTTTTCGCTGTCAGCCATTTGAAAGCTCCCTCACTGATTTCGAATGCCATTTTGACACTATTTTTGATCCACTCAATGACTTTATAGGATTCAAACTGGATCTAAACTGTTCCCTTAGACTCCATCTTGTTTTCATGCAATACTAATTTCCACAGAGCTCCCGGATCAGTGACCTAACATTGAAGAACTCGAGGACTACGAAATTTATGACCGACGTTATTGCTAAACCTAATGGAAATGACACGGCGGTAGAGGAAAAATGCGTGTACGATAACTTTTCCATGAATTGCCTATGTAGTCTTATCGTGGAAAAAGTAGCTGATAAGCTATACTCCTGTAGATTGGTGATTTTCACGGTTATCAACGGTTTGACATGCAATTTTGATAAGCTGCCTGACAAGCGCTTGATCGCTGAAATAATTGATTGAACCGATAGGCACAGTATCTGTGTCAATGAAAGGATTTTTAGTCTGTTTTCAGATGTAGTATAGGGTTGAATTTGTTTATAGGGCCTCCCTTAGCAACAAACAGTTCGATTTATTCACTTTACTAATGAGAAAGCGAAACGACGAACGTACACTTTTCACGGGTTTCTCTGCGCTGTTACTTAAGACATAGAAATCGGGTAACTTAAGTAACATCGAAAAATATTTTTATCGGAAGGTGATTACGTCAAAAAGCAATTTTACTGGTAAATGAATTTAAAAATGGGATGTGATCCTATATTCGGACAGTATATAGTGTACTAGCAGGAGCTTCGATTGACACTGATAGCTCGACTTTGTTTACCACGTAATGAAAATTTCCTCTTGAAATCAAAACCAGCTTCGATTTCCATCGGAGCGGCGGGTGCAAGAAAACCAGATGAGTTCGGGGATCCTTTTCTTCGAGGTTTACCTCCAGTTTGATGACACGTCCCAGCCACTGGCATTGTGTCGGTCCACTATTCTTATAATACAGCCAGACATGGAAAATCATTTACATTCATTTCGTGCATTCATTTACATTCATTTGTCTCTAACTTTTTTTCATCAACAGAATTCCGTAAAGTAATGTATGAAGCTTTTGTTGGTTTTATAATTAGCTACAACTTTTTCCAACAATTCAAATCTGTATCTCTTATGCTTAATGAACCAGAGTAAACTGAACCCACCATTGTTTTTGAGTGAATGTAAATTACATTCACCGAAAAACAATAACATGTTCTGCCCGCTCTAGTACATCATGCATAAGAGATACAGATTTGAATTGTAGACAAAAGTTGTAGCTTATTATAAAACCTACAATAACTTCATACATTACTTTACGGAATTCTGTTGATGAAAAAAGTTAGAGACAAATCAATGTAAATGAATGCTCGAAATGAATATAAATGATTTTCCATGCCTGAATACAGCTCACCTGCATTCACTAATAATCAACTAACGACGGATCCGAGCACTCTGTAAGGATAAAATCAACAATAACCGAAAATGACAGCTACAGCTTTGCTCACGATTTCATGAACGAAAATCATGGATAACGAAATTATGATTTTTTCTAAGTTTTCTGTAGCGTTCGGAAATCGTTGGTCGCGCTGAACAAGCGTGAACTATGTTCATGGATTTGAGCTATTATTTAATGAAAATGTGATTTACTCGATCACGTTTAAGGAAACTGAGTCATGAATTCAAATGAACTAGCAGTTCAGGTTATTGTGATTTTTTGTTTATGAAAACCGAAACGATTTTTATTTTTGCGTGAACCGAAATCTCCATACAAACTCTAAACCCTCATCAATCTTTACCGTTTTTTGCCCAGGCTTATATTTTAGGGTTATGAATCGCAATGGAGGGTGGCCTATCAGGAAAACATTACTTTTTATCAAAATGAGATCAAAAAGTAGATTTCTTGGAGCACGCACATTTGTTGAGAAAAACGATTTAAGTTCACTAAAATACGAATTTTCATGGAGATATATTTTCGGCTACTCTGGAAAGTTGGAGGCAGGGAGTGCATGAAATAGATGCGAAATTTACGATTACACGACTCATAGTTGAGATTAGTTCACTCATATTCTTGAAAACGTATTTAACTCATAGACTGAGTAAAACTTCCCGAGCTTTTATATGAATTTGTTTTTTTTTTTTTAATATGAACAACATCTCGATGTACATATTAATTGGTATACTTCTAGAATGATTATATTTTTCGTCGATTTTACTCAGTCTACAAGTAAACTATGTTTTCCAGAGTTAGCGTAAACTTAAATTTTAGTCGATCTATATACCATGCAGTGTGGAAATCCGTTAGTTACTTAGTATTGGTCCTTTTGCACGCCAGCAGCAGGGGAACGAGCACATCTTAGTGAGAGATTCAACTTTCCACCACCTAAATATGGAGAAATTGGCAATCAAAAGAGCAATTTACAAGCTTATTAATACGATTCTAAACACTTCGTGCTCAAAAAGTGTTTATGAATCAGGTTTAGGATTTCTGAAACGATTCAGATAGGAAGGAATATTGAAATAAAGATCACGAGAAATGGAGAGTACTGTACAACGAAGCCAAGTACAATGAATTGGTGCTAAACACTAACAAAGTTGTAACGATTTTACAAATACAGTTTTAAAGTAAGATATATCAAGCATCATATTCATTGCATTTTGCAAAATAATTACACACCTGAGGGAGAAAAAATTGGCTAAATATAACACAATTTGCTGATACCAACCTTTTTGCCTTTCTCGTACACCAAGGTGTACCGAAAGGCTATGATATCACTGGAAAACACAATTTCTATCCAAGACCTGGAGAGACGCATAGCATATACCAATAGACTCATCTCGACGGGATCCTTTAAAAAAGTTCGTTATGGAGTTTGATTTTTCTCGATTATTTCCACATTTTTACTATTCTTATTCAGGTACAAAACGGCGAAAATGGCTGCTTCGTTCAGTACTGCATCCGGGGATGGGTGGTCTCGAATAAAAAGATGGAATAGGATGGAAACACACTGTCCGTTTCATTCAAGGAGGATGAAAGTAATCCGCTTTACATTTCATATAACGGATTTCTTTAAAATTTGCTTCAAAATGTCGGTTTTTTAAGATAAATTCGAGTCGTAATGAATAATAACAAGCACCTGACGATATTATCCGATTTCATACACTATTCATCGATAATCTTGAATGTGGTAGAATTATCGAGCATTATGCTGATGTTGTTTTTAGTGTATTTTGTGATGTAAACTGTCACTTTCTTGAGCACCTGCTTCTGTGATTGTTGCATATTCAAACTCTGGAAGCAACGATATTTCAAGAGCAAATTTTCATTACGTCGAATGTAACAAAGGTAAACAAAGTCGAGCTATCAGTGTCAATCGATTCTCCTGCTATTACACTATATGCTGTCCGAATATAGGATCAAATCCCATTTTTAAATATATTTGCCAGTCAAATTGCTTTTTGACGTAATCACCTTCCGATCAAAATAGTTTTCGATGTTACTTAAGTCACCCAATTTCTATGGAGATGCCGTTTGACTTAAGTAACAGCGCTGAGAAACCCGTGAAAAGTGTACGTTCGTCGTTTCGCTTTCTCATTATTAAAGTGAATAAATCGAACTGTTTGTTGCTAAGATGATTTCGGTAGTCCTAAAATGATGAATGGGCTGCACGTAAGGAGACGTAATTGATAATTCTCCCGAATATCCTGGTAAATACACTTTGACTTAAGTAACAATAGGGGCCACCAAACGACGTATAATAACTTTTGACTAAAAAACCAGTATTTTTTAGCATGAAAGCTAGCGATTTGCATTTGTATGATTAAAACCCTGCTAAATATGTTAAACATTGCTATCACTATGAGATTATATGTGTTTACTTGGAAATAGGAATAACTTTTCGGTCATCAAAACAAAACTTTATTTTTCTCGGATTATTTCGAATGTTACTTACGACATAATGAAAATTTGCTCTTGATTTGTCCGAAGATTTGGCAACATAATTGATGGCCAAACGTAACCGAACCCAAGACCAACCGGTAGGTGCCATCGATGCTGATCTTCACCGGATGCCTGAGATTGGGAAAGTCTATTGAGGTAGTGATGGAAATCAGTAATGACCTTGGAGATATCCGAGAATTCCCAGTCGTGGCATATGCGTTTCGGCACTTCCTATAATGTGTGTAATGCGCTATACTATCACTTCAAAATTTCAAGAGTACAGCTGCCGCAAACACTATGCTCGTGGAGGACCAACGCGTCCTTGGTGTTTTCGAACGGAAGGTGTTACGTACCATCTACGGTGGAGTGCAAATGGATGACGGAACGTGGAGGAGGCGAATGAACCACGAATTGCACCAGCTGCTGGGAGAACCATCCATCGTCCACATTGCAAAAATTGGGCAACTAAGGTGGGCTGTTCACGTCGTAAGAATGCCGCACGACGACCCAGTGAAAATGGTTCTAGAAAGCGACCCAACAGGAACAAGAAGAGGAGGCGCGCAGCGGACAAGGTGGGACCAAGTAGAAGGTGACCTGCGGACCCTTCGCAGACTACGAGGCTGGCAAACTGTGGCCATGGATCGAGTAGAGTGGAGACGACTTCTTCGGACAGCAGAGGACAACAAGGCCTTAGCCTGATTGGTAAGGTAAGGTAAGTAAGCTGCCGCAAAACATACAACAATGAAACTGGAACTTTACATTTGATGCAGCAAACAGGGAGTTCCAATTTAATGAGTGATGTCTCATCTGTGTCTGAAATTTGTGCTCTAGAACACTTGAAGTGATAGGGCATCTCAGCCATCATCAGGCAGTTTGTGGACTCTTCAAGGAATCACCATAAATGATTTTTGAACATACGATTTTCGAACAGATTTATCAACCAACAATACTAAAGGGTGGATCAGCAAATGGATCAGCCGGTGTTGTTGATTCGGCAAGGCGAGCTTCTATTTTCGAGAAAAGAACATTACAAGATTTGATTACAGAAGTTGATCCGCCTTTTTGAATTGTTGGTTGAGATTTAAAAACGTTGTTTTTAAAACCCTGTCATGATACTTATAGAGAGGTGACCAGATATAAGAGATGTGACTGATAAAAATCGATATTATTTGTTTTTAGAGATTTAAGCACGATTGTATCGGATGAATCCGATAAAATGGATTTCTCCGACGATACATCAATAAATCCAACTTTAGAGTAATTTTTAGCAAAATTTGAATAAATGTGGGA